GCCGAATTTTCAAAACCTGTAACACACGCAACTATTTGCTTCCAATTATAATTGCCGTATCTGAATTGACATCCTTAACCACAAACCTGTCACTGCGTTTTGTATTTGTCTTGCCTCAATTTGCCGTTAATTTCATTTATACGAACAAAATAATCTTTCTGAACTTAATAAACAATTTGAAACTATGTACTGCTGTGTGTTCAAAGATCAATATTCAAAACATAACACTATATAAATAAATGCTACTAAATAGGTGATCTGTCGGTTCGACCAATTGGTCGAAAAAACTTAATGGTGAAATATTCAAGTCATTTCAACCTATTGGTCGAAATGTAAGTAACTGTATTTTCTTATTAGGTGTCTATGAATTTTCTTCTTTTCCTATTTAGTCATTTTGTCGACTTTGGCCTATATCTCCTATTAGGTTATATTTATAACGTGAACAAAGTTACCTAATAAGTCATGGAACGAATATATTACCAATTAGGTAACAAGCGTCCCTTTAGTTAGGTTACAAATTGGCAGAAATAAGGTCCTTCTACCTACTGCTCCTATTAGGTGATACAAAGTTAGGTATATATGCCACTCCTTAATTGGTATTTTTGACGTACCTCACCTATTAGATGACCATTTACCATTACCATAGTTGTTTGCATCCTAATAAGAGGTAATTTCACCAATATGTCACCAGTGCCTAATAGCACAGATTTAAATAGTATATTTAAATCTGTGCTAATAGGTAACATATTTAACGTATTTAACGTATTCAACATAAACATTACATAATTTCTACCTACTTTGGTCGAATTTCTTTTGCCTCAAGTTGCTGACACCTAAATTCTTAGCTGGGTGGGTGGCCAGTTCCAAAATCCCACACACAGTTGTCTTTAGTTGTACTTGGTGCAACAAGAACTCTCTTAAAACCATTTGCATTTCACAAGAAAGGATAAATCGATACATAAAACAAAGGCACAACGAGAACACTCCGTATGCTTTCAGTAGATCCCTGGGTAACTTGAGACCGATATGAATAGAGCAAGCGTCAACATATTTGTACATAACATAAACAATTAAATAGCACCGGTAGACTCAGAGAGGTGACATATTTGCACCGTCGCGGCGCCAGCGTAGCAAAAGATTGGCACATAAAAACAAGTACATATAAATATTATCTCTGGCGTGTGTCGGACGCACTATGAACTTTTGTGGTTTATCGAAACAAATCACCCTGCTAAATATTAATATTCATTGTTAGCCGGTTCAAATAAACAGTGCACGGAGCATTACGTTAATTATAACATTACAACAAAACAAAGAAACATGTCGTGGAAAAATATTAGTCTAGATGAATTAATTAATGCCTAGTGAAATATGTAACAATCTTGACCCAACGCAAATAAACAATTTAATGTCGATGTCCCAAACTGCAGCACCATCAACAAAAAGCTATAAAATTAATTAAGTATATGGATTAATTCGGTACACTAGTTGAATATCTTCCTTAAGCGGTCACATTGTATCTAAATAAGTATAAATAAAAACAGGTAAATCTGTCAGGTGATGGTCCTATGAAGGAATTTTGATGGAGAGTTGTTGTTAACAAAGAAAACAAGTTGTTACGTTACGAATTGGGTAGCACTCATTTAGCCACAATGGGTGTAATTAGTTATAATTGATAATACCCTGTTGCATACATAAACGTACGTTTTCCTTAAATTAAAAATTTCCCAATATTGTTTTGTCATTACTCGTCATAATGTGATTTTCCCTGCCGTTTTGTGTCCGTCCTTGTACTTCGTGCGCACGCAAAATGTTCGTGAAGGCAACGAAAGGAAGAAGTGGGAAGCTTGTGGTTTTGAGAAGATATAATTCCTAATGTCGTGCCTTGGTGTTTAACAAATGCATTTTTACCTACAATGACATTAATTTAGCAAATAATGCAATGCAGTCATGAAATTACTTCGAACCGAACAAGCTAGAGACAAAAAGAAAAACATCACCTGATTAACTCAAGATGGAACATACCCGGTCACAAATGAAAAATTCAAACAACGAACAAGTTTTGCTTCTTAGCAATGACGGTGTTCTTCCCTCCTTGTTTTTACATAAAAACAACCTCCACAACGATGATGTTATTTCTATTTCGTATATAACCTAACGTAAACTACCGATACGCGGTTTTTTTAAAGAGAATAAAACCTGTCAATATTTCCATTGAATTTAGCGCTGATAGAGTCGCTTCCATCACAAGTGTAAAACCAAGTTTGAATTCCAGGTTTCGTGTTCACGAGATCATATATTTTTCCCACCCCCTTTTAGGGGTGCGCCGTATTGTGGAAGAAGTGTTGAGAACTTAATACACAATCGAAGAGTATACTCCAAGACTTAAGCCAATGCCATTAATCTAATCTTTTAGTATATTTTAGTACTAAACGAGACATTTTGGAAATAGTTAGGTACTTGTACAAATAGAAAAGAAAGTGAAGTTTTTCAACTCGAGTTCAAAGTTTAACGAGAGTTGAAAAACACTTTCTTCTCAAGTTTTAAACATATTTTTTTCTGAAACTATACAATTAAAATAGAAAAATTCATATATGCAATTATGAAGTTTCACACAGCAATCTAGATACGTCTATGTTGCAATTTTAATGTCATTATTAAAATTAACACGGCAATTGCTTTTTACTTCCCTCACTAGAGAGGAAAATCACATTTTCTTGCGCCCTTTTTAGAGACGAAAGTAGTTTCAGAAAAAATTTGTTTATTCTTCTCTGCCACTAAAATGCCCTTGTTATATATTGCATATTCGAAGTAATGTAAATTTAAACCAGAAGTGGAAAAATTTAAGTACTGTTACGTCTGTCGGCTATACTATTTATTTCAATACATTCATATCTAGCAGGATATAATGTCCGAGATAATGTCACAATAGTTTTAGATCTTTTGTAACTTAGCTATGTATAGCAGAACAGTGTTTGTTTAGGTTTACTTTACGGTCTCTTCAAGGAACATTGATTTAAAATAGAACACAACTAAGGAACATATTTTGGGCAATCTAAATATCATCTTTCTGTAATAGGTCACGCTGCTCCTACACTACACTTACCTATGTAATAATATTTAGTTAGAAATTCAAAACTTCGTTTTTTGATTTTATCTCTACTAGATATTAGTAGGTACTTACTTTTCTTAAATATGCACTTATGTTCAACCTTGTTGAAATAAAAATGCTTTTACATAACCAATTTTTACTTTATAGAAGGCAGAGAAGCGCATTTTCTGCGGAAAATAAAAAGGAAGCTCGGTAAATATTTATAATGCTCATGCAGTATTAATAGAGCTCTAAAAAAGTACCGGCAAGGAAGTTAAAATGTTGTCTTGTGTCATTCGCTTCATAGCAAATGTCATGTTTCCATTACCTACAATTCTAATTAGATTACTTTTTAATTTTGGTAAAATAAATTTAAAAGCATTAGAGGTAATTCATTATTATGCCACATTTATGGATCTAATTACGTTGAAATGAATCGTATACCTTCGATCGTAGTTTACGTTCATTCACTTAGCGACTTAGCGTGACGACAATGGGTAAAGAAATATTTGTTTCTAGCGCTCAAATGCTAAAAAGGATTTTAGATCATGCAATTTATACTGCTTTGTTACCTACCTTACAAATTACTTGCTCGCTCACTTTGTGAAATAATTGATCTGGCGTGCATTGCAATCGTCCAGAGATTTACTCAACATTCGAAGTATAATACATATTAAATGAAATTCCGTGACTATTCACGGGACCATTACCGATCCAAAATAACCAGGACGATGCTCTCAGTTTAATTTTATCGATCAGTTCTAAAATTAACTTGAATAGCACAAGCGGCACCTAATGGAAGGAGAAATGATGATCTTTAGGTATTGGGCAATCCAAATTCATTCATAACTTTCTATACACAACTTGAGTAGTCATTTACAATGGATCCACTTGAGACACTTTTTGTGGCCCACTCATAATAATCCTTGTTCATAAATTGCATTCGATAGATTTGTCCCATTTGAAAAAATGACCTTCCTTTTAATATGTAGGAAAGCTTTTACTCCGTTTTGATTCTAAGATTCTCTGTCAGTTGTCTTGTGATATATTTAATATTTTATATAACATAACAAATACCCGAAGCCATAACATAAATAATACAAAGCTGGACGAACGATTTTAAATTAATGGCAGTTAGAAACGCGAAGAATAGTCGACGCGAAGGGATAATTCCCTGTATTATATTCTGTGTGCTACCATTCAAGTACCTCTTTTAAAGCATCAATTGTATGGCGGTCGTAGCAGTTAATGGTAGAGGTAGATTTGGTTCAAGGGGGAAAGTTGTCTGCAACATTATCCTATTTTGTAATACACGTCTTTCAATGGGGTAGTCCTAAATACATCTCGTTACAACACAACGTGTGATTACATGTAGGTAGATGTAGTTTGTAAACTCCTAGCGTAAATTTATTAGTGATCAAACGGATACTGCTCTTCTTAATTTCTAAGCATGACAAAATCTAACGTATAACATCCTTATAAGAAGCGGAGATGATTGTGGTAAGGGTTACACATCTAAAATGTTTTGAGAAAACTAGGATCAGTTGCTTTTATCGATGTTCAAGCGCTAACATATTTCGATAAAATATGTTTTATTTTAAATAGTGGCGTTCAAGTTGTAACCCACTACCCACATCAAACTAATAACTTTAGACTTGGTTAATGGATTTAGGGTAATTTAAGCGAAAGCTGTGAAACTTTAAATTACAAGTCATATCTGCGCAAATTAAAAGCTTCCCTTTCAGCTACTTCTTCCTTAATCATAGACCAAACGGTCTACGCTTTAATCGTTATCACTTTGTTGCAAGATCGACGGTTTGATGTAAACCAAGTAGGTACAGATAGCAGTATAATGCTGACTAGCGGTAGTAAGTTCTTTATATAGAAAACTAAACTGCATCGCATATCAGTGCAAGTGTTTGAGCCGTTAATATAGGTAAGAGTTTTGTGAAACTAAATTCTCACACGTAAACGTCCAAGCTTTATTGAATTATTGCCATTAAATAATTTCCAATGTTTGTTTTGCATTTGTAATCCAAAGAGTGAGGACGTAAATTTGCAATAAATACAGTCGAATAAATCTTCCATAAAGAATTGAGCATTTATTAAAATAAACAAACTCTTCTTGTACTCCAACCAAAATTAAGTAAAATCTCCAATCACATTCTTTAAATCCACCTGCAAGTTTTACGATCTTTTTAATACGCTTTGGAGCTTGGAATGGGTTTTTTGCTTTAAAACCAGATCGAACGTGATTTTTTTATTTGTATTCTAATGATAAAATTGAATCGAGCGCTTGGCTTTTTGTCTCGCTACCTTTTGTTTACGAGCTTTTTAACTCGAAGTATTTTTCATTTAAATGCCCGATACCACCGAACTGAGCGCGGGTTATATTTGACAAAGATTTGTCTGTAGGTACTTATCCAGCTACGACAGCAAATGGAACAATAATGATGATAAAATGCTCATTTGTGATTTTCTAATAAGGAAATTATTACTCTTTTAAGTATCGAGTTTCAGATTATGTAACACCTACGCATTACTCGTACATAAAACTCGGTAGAACAAAAGTGCCGAATTCAGGATAATTGTAATTATAAAATTGATAAAAAGGGATGGCTACCTCTTGCACAATAATGAAATTCAATAATGTTTTTATTAATAAACATAACTTATTCAATTGTTATTTCAGTTTCCGTGCTTTAAAATGGTTTTTCGCAGTCCTCACCAGGGGTTTCAGAACAATGTACTATCCCAGCACTGAGCACTTTTCAAATGTTATAGGTAAAGAGAGTTTGTACGCTATTCGCTATTAATAAAATTTAAGAAATTAAATGACGGAAGCCAGTTCAGCAATTTATATTAGTCACAAAGGCGGCCTTTGAATGCAGTAATGTCATGGTATAAGTAATGTGGTAATTGTGGTAAGCTTTCTTTTGCTGAAATCTTCTTAGGAGCCGATTTGGGTGGTCTAAATGCAGTTTTGCATTCTAAAAAGCTCGCGCTGGCTGAGTTAAAACTGAAAACCGGTAAAACTGTTTGCATTATCTTTTTTATCACAAGGCACTTAGTACGTAAAGAAAAATGACAGTATTGCAGTTTTCAGAATATACAAAATTTTCAAAAATCTGAATGCAAAAGTAGGTCTAAATTTGTCAAAACGCAACAATATGGTTTGTTCAAGAAATGAGAACTTTAAGTTTTCGTACCCTTCTGAACGATGCATTAACAAAAATACTGTAAATACGCTCTGGAAAACTCGTTCCAGTAATTTGGCCTCAGGAATATTCGCTTCCTGAAAATTCGTCCAAGGAAGAGTTGCTCACAGAAAATTGGCCCTTCACACATACCGGCAAAACCGAAGCCGGTGGATGCGACCGCATCAGATGCAATGCAATCAAATTGAAGCTCTCACACTAAAGGCCAGTTTTTCCATCTCTCGATAAATGTATTCGGCAAATAAGTACCTTGACAACCATTCTATCAAAAATAGTATCCATGTAATTTATTCAGAGAGTAAAGTTATTGAGAAGTGGAAAAACCAGGCCTAACTGATTACATTTTGGTCATTTGGACTTTCCGTCCGCTCGTTAGTGATGGTCGCTCGTTGTCTATATTGTTTTGAAACAGTTTATTGTTAATTATTTATATCTGTGAAATGGAGCTGGAGGCACCCCTTTTAAAACGGCGCCCGCTTGCTTTGCAGGCCATGAAGAACCGCTTCCGCGGGCCCTGTATGTTTGTCTTTAGTAGAAACGTAGATGGTTAAAATTTTAAAGAGAGATCTTCGTAAGTAAAAAAAGTTGTCATTTTGCAGTCTGTGCATGCGCTCATTTGGTTTTTACTATTTTATTTTTGGCTTTATTTTTGAGTGGGCGAGGTTTCAGCCAAGACCAACCCAACCCACTACACATTTGCAAAATATCTATGCTCCAACAGCTTCTACTGACCTGCGCCACAGGGGCCGGCTATTTGTTTGTTTATTGTCCCTTTCTTGTCCCTCAACAAGCTTTTTGCCCAATTACAGATTGACCCGCATAATGCTTTTTAGAGGTGTCCCTGCAGAAGGTCTTAAGTTGTTCTATACTGCTCCTTACAAGTTAGGAAAACTGCAGGAAACCGTAATTCGGAGTAGTCGTCAGAATACTCGAAACTGATCTAAGTAAATTCCCTTTTCTACCACAGATGAAAATTCTTACCTCAGGTTCGAACACCCGACCTCCGGCCATGTAGCCCAACTCTCTACCGCTAAGCTACACAGTCGGTATGGCTGGTTTTGCTAATGACGTTTGTAGTTTTCGATTTCTACTACGTGCGATGTGTTTTTCTTTACTAGAAGCATCTATATTGATCAATTTCTTGTTCAGGTCGCTTTGACAAGAAAACTTTACGAGTGTAAACACAGAATTGGATACAATAACTTGATCAATTTCTTGTCGGATTAGCGCAAGTTCTATTTACCAGCAACCACTTAAAATAATAAAATCAAGATGTTTTCTTCACTTTTATGAGCTATAATATCGCGATCTTTCTTTTTCTATTCCGTAATCTTCTATTCAAGACAGAGGGAATCATTTTTACACTTTTAACTTTTTTTTTCTGTGCAATTAAAAAAAATGACAACCTAACCTTAAAATGATTAAAGGTTGGTGAAATTGTACAATGACTTTAAAAACAACAAGAAATTGATCAAGTTAACAGCAGTGTAAACCCCAAGGAACTTGAGCAAGAAATAGTTCAATAAATTGACAAGTAACTTCATGAAGTAATTGATGAAGAAATTGTTGATATAAAACTAGCATAAGGAAGTTGGCACTACGCATAATGCGCGTGCACACATCCAATGTTTACAATATGGGATATGTTTGCCTTTAACAGAAGCATCTGAGATTAAAATTTTAAAAAGATAAGTCGGTAAATAAGACACTTGATAATGCGCAGCCTGCGCTTGCGCATATTAATCTGATGTATACAATATGTGATACGTTTGCTTTTAGTAAAAGCATTTTTGGTTAAAATTTCAATGAAATATTTACATAAATAAGAAAATTGGCATGGGCATCTGATTTTTGCTATATAGGTTGTTTTTTATACATTCGGGCCATAGAAATTACACTCCTAGCGCAAAAATATCTCTATAAATAATAAAGTTGACATTGCGCAGTCTGCGCATGCGCACATCTGATTTTTACAATATGCGATATGTTGGTTTTTACTAGAAGCATCTGTGGTTAGAATTTTAAAAAATATCTCCATTAATAACAAAAATGTCATTGCGCAGTAAAAATGTCTGAAAATGTCAAATTTCGTTTTCATTATCCCCATCTTAATCGGTCGGAAATACACTGTTCCTGTTAGCACCCTGTATGGGCACTTTTTTTGGGAGAATCCATAACATTCTAGATGTAGAAGCTTCAGCTACAGGCTTCAACTTTCTTATTTATTATGGGCGCCATATTGGATTTTTACGAAATGAGTAGTGGATAAAAACGTCTCAGCACTCTATACTTTTACATAAATTTACAAGAAAAATTTCAAAATCAAATGTTTTACATTCATCCACGGGTAACTAGATTACATTTTGAAAATTCTCTTCAAAATATATTGCTGTGTGCACTGACCCGTAGGCCACAAAGGCCGTACACAAAACAATAACCTAGCTAGCTCTTTACCTTTTGTGATTACGGCACAAAACTCCTCCACAGTACAGAGGAGAGATTCAACTCTGCTCTCAGTAAACCTGTGAACTTCTAACAGATAGTGGGCCAACTCAAATACCTTAAACTCGAAACTGAACCGCAAAATTTTGAATAAATAAAATGGACTTTGGGCAAGCATCCAATGAAAACACAGGTAAATTAGAATTTAAGTCGACACGGAAATTAATGTGACAATTACAAAAATGAGATTTAATCTTAACACACAAAAGAAAAATAGTACGAAAACACAAACAATTATTACAAATAGACTAAAATTATGACTTAACTACTTACATTACTTGTCCGGGAATTGAAATATCCAATCAAAAGGTATCCGTACACAGTTCACAAAAATTAAAATTTTCAATTAACACAAATGCTGCGATTATCCGATGTCATCTTCTCTTCAGGTAGTCAAATACGTTCACAATAAAACTCAATTCGCTACCTAACTGTTAAAATTTCAAGTTAATCGAGTCATTTTGAAGAAATTGCGAGGGCAAAACCTTCATTTCCTGTACTATAACAAGTTTTAAAACCAATTGATTTTAAATGTACTCATCATATTTATTTTGCAACCTGGAATTCTGAGTTGCTCATATTTGGTTGTTGGACTCTAAATCGCTTGATGTAATCAGTTTTTTTTGACATTCTACAACTTTTGAGGGATTTCAATTTGGGCGACTAAAACGTTTTAATGGAAACCCGCTATGTTAATTTTCTTGTTAATTCTTGTTTTTTTAGTAGTAGGGGTACTTTACTAGAACGCTTGAAAGGTCATTGTAAAGAGCCACTCCTTTTTAGTTGTGAATTTATGTAGCTGGGAAGGTTTCTACATTATACACTATCATTCAGATGAAGCTGAATTACCAAGTAGCACAGTGTAGCACTTTTTTCTCAGGATTACAGTGACCAAATTAGAAAAAAAAAAGCTGTGGGTTACTGAAATATACAACAGAATAAATTTTTAGCTTCCTAGCACGATCACCGTTTTTTTGGACATGTCAAAATTTCATCAAATGTCGACGTTTTACATCATTTTAAGCAAATTTCAAAGAATAAAAATTTTTCCGTCTGTATGTATGTGCGTATGTTCCCCAAGCGGTCACCTATCCAAGTATACTGACCACCTGCTGTTGCGTAACTCCGACGATCGGACAAGAACCGGCGTTTTCAATGTGGCATTGCATTTACTGTTCTAACGGAAACAATTGCAGAATCTCTTCTTAAAGAAGAGGATACCAAAAGATGCAAAAGCGACGCGAATATCGCGATTTGGGATTTTGAGGACTTTTTCAAAACAAAATTTTCCTGTGGGAATTTGAACAATTTAGTGTTTAGTAATAAAACTGCACATACAACAAATTTATAAGACTTTTTCCAGTATAAGGCATAAAGGATGTAACACTGTCAAAAAAGTTTTTTTTTCTGTGCGGGAAAAACATTTGACATTTTATCTCTGTTGATACGTAACAAAAGTGAGTACTTTTTTCCCGGATATACTCGCATATACACATAAGTAAAGATATTCAATTTTTGTGAGGCTACTTTCACTGCTTCTACTAACTCACGTGAAGTCGGAGAAAATTCAGAATCAGACATTTTTAACTTTATACGAGACTTTATATCATTCAATATAACTACTAAACAATCATTAAATTCGAAATGTTTAAATCAAATGACAAAACTGAATTGACAGATATTTGAGTAAAGGTTTCCTTAGTAACGCAGTTCGTATTGTCGCGACAAGTGCAACAGCCTGTCTGCAGTTTAAAACTTCAAATTTCTATAAATCGATATGACTTCAATATATCGTTTTCCCCGTTCCAGAAGAAAATAGTGTATTATACACGGGAAAAATATTAGATTTTAGCACTCGGTTTTTTGTCCCCCTCCGCTTCGCGTCGGGAGACAACACAACCTCGAGCTAAAATCTAATACTTTTTTCCTTTTTATAATAAATAACTATTTTTGTTAAAAATTTGCTTCGGGCTACGAAGCTGTTCTGTCAAGAATTTGGCAACTGGTTGTTATGGACATCCCCTTGCAAATTGCAATGGAATAGCATTAAACGTTTAACGTGAACTAATGTACCCTCAGTAAAAATTGAGAAACTGCGAACGAAAGCAACGGTAGAAAACACGACAATTCGTTGACATTAGATTTAAGTAATAGACATTACTCTGAAAGTTGACGTATTTTTTTAATAGAAGACGTTACGTACAGATTGGAGTGACATGCTAATTTTAGTTGCTTTGTTTGTATTTTTAGCTAATTTTCATTGGTTTTTTTTGCTTTGTTTTGGATTTTGAGCATATTTTTCCAGAATGTTTTGTGTAGCCTGTACCGCGTATAGTGGAATTTCGTAAAAAAAATTGTTATTTGCACTGTAGCACTTTCAAAGTAGTTATGTGTTAAAGCTTTTTCTATTAACGAACTGCTATTTTGTTGAGTGCCTTGCAAGCCCATGCTCAATTTGTTTAATTAAACCAGAAGAAAATGCTTCGTATTTGGTCATTTACACTACTTCGTAGCTCCATCGTTAAAAAAGTTAACAATAGCACATCTTTCAAATTGAAAGCAGATGACGCTTAAGATATTTCTTTCTATGACAGTCACATCGAATTTTAGAATTTGTTTTCATTATTGTGGCTTTGCTTATTTTATTTTGTTTTATTTCAGATTATCGGAAAATGAAGGAACTATTAGCAATTCAGTTTTTGATATGTCTGGCGCTGGCATTTAATGGGAATTATCCGGAAAATTGCTTTCCTGTGTTACACTTTTCAAGAACGCAGTTTTATTTCAACGACGTCGCCTGCGAACACATATCAGTTGTAAATGGAACCACATTAAACATACGCTTGAAGAACAACCATCTAACAAAGACAATTTCGTTTACAAACAGCTTTATTCCAATTTTACCCGCCGATTATTTCCGATTCTTTCCATTCTTGGAAAGATTGTTTTTACTCGGAAACAATATAGAAACTGTTGAACGTGATGCGTTTAATCACCTTAACCACCTTCAGCATCTTTCACTTTACAATAATAGTATCAAAGAAATTTTTGGACTCACCTTTCGTAAATTATCAAATGTAAAGATACTAAGTTTTTCAAAAAATAGACTGGAGGAATTGCACCGGGATTCTTTGTATGGCCTAGTCTCTGTACAACATTTAAATTTATCACACAACTCATTTCGTAAATTAAATTCAAATACGTTTGATAATGTGCCGTCACTTAAATTGTTGGACATATCGCACAACATCTTGCACAGCATTACTTCTGAGATTAATTTAAAAAGGGCAGCCGATCGTTTTGAGTCATACGATCAAGTACCTAACAACGTTTTTAAAAGTCTACCCAAATTAGAAAAACTAAATTTAAGCTTCAACAATCTGAGTGATATTCCCATTGGATGTTTTGGCGGGCTTAATGTTTTATCAGAACTCAGGTTATCCAATAATGTCTTAACGGATGTAGACTTTGGCACATTTTCGGGACTCGGTAACATAGCTACTTTGTACTTAGATAACAATAAATTAATTTCTCTACCGGAAGAATCATTTTACGTACTTAAAAATTTACACTTTTTATATATTCATAATAATCTGATAGATAACTTAGACGTAAAAGTATTGCTGAAGCAAACTCCCAACTTAACTCACATTTCTCTTGGTGTAAACGAATGGAATTGTGACAATTTATTTAATATTTTGAGGCTATTAACGCATTTCCACGTCCATTTTGCAAATGGTACGAGTTACGATGTCGAAAATGTAAATGGGATCGCTTGTACAAGTCGAGAAAATTTGGAACAAATCCGTGCATCTGGTAATTTTGAAGATCCCTATTCCACTTTTGTCTACAAATTTGCACAATTCTTCGACAGAGACTTTAAAAACACGCCTTTTTACAATTTTTTACAAGAAATCTTATCCATACCTTCGGCAGTTATAAATTCTTTAAAAAACCTTACTAAGTACATAAAAGAACGGCGTGAGTTAGTTGATGAACTCAACAGACTTATCGGAAAGAAGGAGAACGTTTCTTTCTCTGATGAGTATTATGACCATGAAGACTATGAAAATGAAGAATAAGACAGGATAGCGACTGGGTTGAATAAGACTATACCATAGATGTAATTGATCCTCAATGTTCCCGTGTTATCTGTGTTCATGTCATGCTATAGTTGCAATCTTAGAATAATCGATATGTTTGTGAGTTTGATTAATAGGCATTACATACTTACCACTGTCGAAATTGTTTAGTAAACATTGCTTGATTTATGTTATATACATTATATTTACTACGTTTTATCCAGCTAATTACTGACATTGTAAGCCACTGGCAAGCAACAAAATGTTAAAGCAATAGAAATATTTGTTTGAGCAAACTTAATTCTTATTCGTGGAGAAAAAAAGTATCGCTACTTTTAAACTAAAGTGTTAAATGAATTAGAAAAACTTAGAAGACAAGACGGTAACACCATAATATTTGGTTTTGGCCATCTGGGACATGTTATTTTCTACTTTCTTCAATAACATTGAGAGAGAATATGTTTAGCCGTGTCAACCTGTGATTCTTTCTCACGTACTGGAGTACACCTATATACAAACTAGCGAAGAATTAGGGAGATAATCTCATAGTGACAAAGCTGCCACATGTTAAGTGCATTTTTCGAAACAGCAAGGGTTTAAATTTAGTGTACTTTCATAAGAAATGAACAATAACCCATAGTTATAGTATAAAGTGATACATAAAAAATAGCAACATTTGACATTTTGAAGGAGTAAAATCGTAAACAATTGCAAGTTAGAGCTTAGAGATCAAGAATTAATCGAGGCACGGTAAAAATCTGATAGCGGTCTGGTCTAACCAGCATATTTGGTTGGTGTACATTCGCTCGATCTTCTGGCAATCGCTGTGTTCCAATCCTAATGTTAGGAGGTTTCCTCAACCTCTCACACCCCTTGGTCATGTAGGATGTTCCCGATTGAACTACTCACAATATGGCACTACTAAATGGTACCATTCTTGCTATACGTCTTCTAGTATAAGAACAGTCGTAGGTAGTCACCCACTGCAAAACATGTATTTTTCTTCGTATGGGCTAGATAGAGATGCAAATATATTAGCATAATTTGTGTACAAATCACAAGCGGCCAGTTTTGCAATGGGCGGCTACCTGCGATGATTGGCGGGACTGTTTTTATACTGGAAGAGCAATACCTCTACCAAACGCCAGGATAATCTTCCTCCAAAATGCGTTGCGTTGGCAAGAGTCGTGTTAACAAATGTTGTGTACCTAATAGGCACGATGTAGTTTTTACAAACGTTATTGAAAAATACCTCTTTATACAATATCTACGAGTAGATCAACTACAAGTATAACAAGCTACAATATGGCTTCACATCTGGAAAATCTTCCGAAATGGGAGTTATGGATTTATTTAATAATAATGTGCCCGTGCTTGGGCAAGGATTATGCAAACCGGGGTTTGCCCAAGAACTTTGATTCATAAAACCCTAATTACTCACTTATGAAACAAACGTTTCTTTTTCTGCAGTTACTTGAGTTAGCGTGATCAATGAGAGCGCAATATTCGCCCAGTCGTATTTAGCTGAACCCAAGAGAATAGTGTACGGAGTTCCACAAGGACCGTTTTTGGGATCTCTGTTATTTATTTTGCGCTAAATGATCTACTATCCAGTCATTTATTTCAGTATGGATTCTGTATGGTACTTCCTGCCTTGCTTGCAACTGCCCGTTTAACCTGCTTGTGAAAGAATATACCTACTGCAGGATCTAGCTAATCATGGACCACCTCGTGACAAGAGCTTATTCATCACGATATGGCGGAAACACATGCATTCCATATTCGGTATAATCGGAAATTATTTAGTGCAAAAAGATTTGTTGGTGCCTGAAATCAGGATATTATGTAGTTAAATAGTTAACAACTTCTCTACATGTGGTCGCCGAAGATGAGCTTACGTTTCTTCCAAGTAAAATTTGCTCCATTCACCATTATAATAAAAAACTAGGCGAAATAATGTAGCGATGATTTGGGATGTTTATAATCAAAAAAAAAAAATGGGAAAGACAAATAAGTTCTTATTGAACTGCTCATCTAGCCATTAGTTGCAAATCCCCAAACAAAGGATCATTAGAAGACTGATCTTGAGATCCTTATGTCACCGAACCGTTTTAGTAATTCGATTATCGTCTCTAATAAGGGATGGTGTTTATAATATGCAGAGGTTATAAGTTCATTCGGGGTTTGTCTGCTGTTACCCTGCATTTAATTACACTGTAACCGAATTTGAAATTGTTTTAACACAAATAACGGCGCACCGTTCTAATGATACATCAATAAATTAGATGCTCTTCGGTGTACAAACGAGCCACAGCATTTTCCGAAAATCTCGCATTTTCCAGTGGGACGGAACAACGCTAATTGGTCGCAATCATAACTTTTCGTGTTTGTTAACTGCTAAAATTAACTCGACTAACAAATTGTGGACATTTTGTGCTATTTTGAGGAAAATTGTAGGCAAGAGATTTCTACATATACCGTCATAAAAGAAGGCGTTCCGAATCTCATTATACTTACACGGGTCGGACGAAATCGAATTCTCATTTCATTCGAATTTTCATTATTTAGTAAAAAAAATGTTGCTTATAGAAAAATTGAAGCAAGCATGGCTATAAAAATAGAATTTATTCTACTTCGAAACCGCAGATAGATGGAAGGAAGGTAAAACTGCCGAGGCGCATAAATGCATTGGGGCGGAATGATTTGCTTTTCCACAAGGCATTCCCGCATTGTGTATTTTTTTTACGCAGTGCCAATACGGCTTTATATTACTTACAAATTGCCGATTTGATGTATAGCATAAGCTATTAATTACATCATTAGTGAGGTACCGTCGCATTCTACGTACATTCTCTCCTAAGTGGATAATAAATATTATCGATTTTGTATTTTCACGCACGTTTATGAAAATTGTATTCTGAAGCATGCAAGAATTTCTCTTGTTTTTTTGTTACAGAAGCTTACGCTTGTAGATTGGAAAATGTCTCCCCTGTAGGTAAATTGAAAAGTGTGAAAGTTACCTTTGGTTAGAGCTGCGATTTTAACTAGTTTTATAGCAGGAGTGGGATTCCGTGGAAAAATATTAATTTTTATTAACCCACATCAATTTATCAATTTGAACCTCTTTTTCATTTATTCGTGTATTTTGGATGTTAATTGGGTTTCTCAAATTTTTAACTAAAGGTTTTGTGTTGTTGAGGTGGGAATATAAGATAACAACCCGATGGCAAATAAGGTTAAATCAAATTAATTATCGCATTGGGTGTACTAATAGTATTAATGATACGAGTTCGTTTATGAACGCCGTAATAAAACGCGTGTAACGTTAAAATCAGGAGGCGTAGCCGAGTGATTTTAGTTACACAAGTTTCATTAATAACCCAAATAGATTTTATTCTCATTGTTGTGTTATCTAAACGTTTTCATAAATTATAATTATTCAATTATTAAGTGTCTATAGGTACTAGTGGATGTCATGGTAATCACGTTTGTTACATTTGACGCGCTTCTTTCTGACACCTTATCAAAAGATGAACTGGAAAGGGTACTGACAAAGGACGATTGGGACGTCTGGAAGAAATACACTGTTGATGTCAAAACTTTAAGAGCCACTATCTCGAAAACCGTTTGTCGGAGGAAAGTGCTCTCAAAGGCAAAATGAATCGTGAAAATATCTGCAGAACAAAGTGTCGGAGAAGGGTACTCTCAAAGGGCGGAAAGATCGTCTAAACGAGGCGCATCTAGGAAGTGAAAATGCAGGTGCTGCTCGTCGTGACTATAGGAGACGGTTTCCATCCCCGTCTTTTGATAAGAGGACAGAAAGAAGGGCAGTAGTTGGTAGAAAACGGTTCTTTTCGTTGAGACCTTTAATTAGAATACCGTGAAAGCCCCCCCCCTCCCCCTCCCAAACAAACCAATTTATTTCGATGAGACTTTTCATTAGAATCCCATGAAGGGTAGAAAGTGTTCTAACCTCCCCGCCCCTTTTTTTTTCAAAAGTTTAACTTGGCACCACTAAAGGCATGCGTAAGGAAAATCTGAGACCAATTGGTTGTCGTATGTAAAAGTTATGCACGTTGTAGGTACTTTCAAAAACAGCGAAATTTGATAGCCGTCTGGTACACCTTCAAGGTATAGGCTACCTACTGCAAAATGTTCCAGGATTATAAGTGCTTAACTTGTATGTATGTGTGAATGTATGTATTTCGTTTTTTGTGAGCAATATAACTCAAAACCGCTAAACCGATTTTAATGGAATTTCGAATGCATATAGGCTGGAGTGGGGAATCGCAAACTTCAGGAATTTTGGTTTGGATTCGTAAAGATTTTCAGAGCTTCTAAGGGCGTCAAAGGTTTAAAAGGGCCATAACTACAAGAAGAAATTCTGAATGCAGATTTTGAAAATTGCATTTTCTTGAAAACTATGGTTCATAGAGAACAATGTTACATACAAACAATTTTCGCGTAGGATTTGAAATAAAAACACCAAAGGGAGTTTTGCAAATTTTTTAGTTTCTTTTAGAAAATGCATTTTTATTATACCTGCATCAGAATCGCTGTTTAAAACACATGAGCGATGGAGCGTGTGATAAACGGCGACTAAATCACCCCGATCTTTAAAAGGTGCTACGTAACGTTACTACAAATGGGACGTTTTTAAACTATAATTTGGGACTGGGACCAAAAAAATCCTTTGTTGAAAGATTTCACAAACGCACTTGAGTGGGTATTCTGCACAATCTGTTCTACTTTTTAATCTCAGTGACACATTGAATTGCTACTGTGATGTTATGTCTCTCTCACACTCATAGAATGCTTATTGCGTTTCTTTCGAGCTTACTATAAGCCAGACTCGCAATTATTTTTTTTCATACCAGTAAGTATAAATATCAACATTAAACATGCATTTAAAACTTTGTTGGAAAGATGCTTTTACCCCAACAGCCTTTTATATTTTTTATAATTTAGATTTTGCAAGTACCAACTTTTTCTGCTTCTGCATCAAGCGACTGAATAGACAGTGAGGGTATTATCTTCTTTAACCGAAGTCGTTTTATTTACAAAGACAGTGATTTTCATAAGCAAACGTTAAGTGACATTTTCATGGTAATCATGGAATTACGAACCTTAATTAGAATATATTCCAATATAATGTCAATATGGGTTTATTTCAAACCTTGTCACTTTTGAAGATTCACTATCGCTCTCGATTAGACAAGAGAACCGCTGAAAGCGTTCAGCATGAATTTTGAAGTCATCTTCATGGGACACGAAGACAGGAACATACATTCTCACATAACTGTTAAGAGTCAAGTGTAGGGCAACTAATTTTGTCAAATAGAAACCTATACTTTTTATTGAATATTGTTATTCTACATCGGAAAATAATAAACTTTCGTGGGAAACGTTTCTTTTCCTTACTCTTACTATTTTTTAAAGACACTCTTCTGAAAGCCCTATTTTTGGTTAGAGCTAGGAA